CGGCAGCCATGGCCGCGCGCCTCCGCTCGCTCGCTCCCGGCCCGCCCGCCGCCCGCCGCCCGCCGCTGGGTAAAGTCTTAGGTTCAGGGAACAAAGCCTGGCTTGGTAGGGAGCTTTTCGCTCGTTCGCTTATTGCTTTTCGCTCGTTGCTGTTCCCCCTTTTCTTTTTCCTTGCTTTTGGTTGTCACTCCCAAGCCCTACCCTGCCTGCCCTTCCGTCTCAGCCCTGGGTCTCCGACTTTCCAGCCTCCTCATTTCATATCTTCGCCTATGTGTCTGATTCCTCAACTCCAAGGAAACTTAAAGGTGGACACCAAGCAGGAGCGACGTGGACCGTTTGTCCTCTGGTGTCTGAGAGTTTCTTTTGGATGGCCCCTCTGCAGTCTAGAAACTCTCACAACACCTTTATTCCTTAACCACATATTTATTGAAAGCTTAACTGTGTGTCAACCCATAGGGGCACAAACATACTCTTGCCTTCCGAAAGCTTTCCGTCTAGTTTAGAAACCCACTTGGTCGCACGTACAGGGACTCAGACCCTTTAGAGGCACACCAAGCCATTCAGATACACAAATTCCCTCTTGGTCCCATTCAAGTCACACCACCTGACCCTCCCAAAGACAACCCCAGCTCCTGCCTCACAAGTTAGAGACCTCCGACTACTTAGGTACTCAGGAATACACTTGACCTCTAAATCCGCATCAAACCAAATAAACTCACATAGTACCCCAAAGGACTAAAGTTACTGAAATTGGATGAGGGGAAGAAGTGAGAGGATGTTAGCCTAAAAACTTCATCCCCAACACGGGTATGGACAAGAAGGACGAAATCTACCCCCCCCCTTTTCTAAAGGGGGGGCGGCGCCCGCGGGGACCAAAGGTCAAGCCCCCCAGCGGGAGGTGAGGTGGGGGAGGGGAGACGGCTGCTTTGGGGGCTTCAGCGACACTTCAAAGACCTCGCGGCTGGGAACGCTTCCTGCGGGGGAGGGGCAGATGGAGAGGAGAGGGGAAGACCGGCAGAGGGACTCAGGGTGGAGGAGGCCGCCCCCCTTCTAGTGCACTGCCCCCCTGGCAGACGCTTCCGCCCGGTCCGCCTCCTTTTCTCCAACACCTGTTCAACCGGAACATCAAGGGGACGGGGCCCACAGCACCCCCACCCCGCGTCTCTTCAGTACCTTTCATCCCGGAAGGGGGGAGTGAATCCCCGCCCAGGAGGGGGAAGCGAGGAGGGGGAGAACTTGTCCTTGACCTGGCCGGTGGCGTCAGGGATTTACTCTCTTAATCCGAAGGAGAGACGGGAGTTTGGGGAAGTCGGGGACGCTGAACTCAGGGCTGCGGCCCCCCTGTACCAATGTAGGGAATCCTGGAGGGCTGCCGGGACGAAGGCTTTTAGGCTGAACGGGCGGGACTGAGAAAGTCGGTCTTGATGCCTTTTCCGTGCAGGAGGGAGACGGGCCGAAAACCTGGGGAGGAGGCGGGCGGGAGGTGGGGGGCAACGACGAAGATAGTCTGGGATCTGTACAAGGGCTAGAATTCCAACGAGGACTGCCACGATCCCGGGTCTTGCTGCAGTTTGTTAACTTCGCTCATACGAAAAGTTCAACAAGGCACAGCCAAGAAGTGGCACTCAGAAGATTTTAATGCATTAGCTTTACTGAAAAAATGACAACTGCAAGAAAATTAAACGCAAAACTGTCCGTTTTAGCCACGCGCCAGCTTCATGTTGTTTGAATATTTGCCTTCGGACTGACCAGGGCTGAGAAGGCCGAAGTTTCGGGTTTCGTGGGACCGCGTCACTCGGGGGTGTGTCAGTCCTTGCACCTAGGAATGAGTGGCAAGGGTGCAAGAGCCCAGTGCCTTTGTTTTGGGTCCTCACCCAATGTCTCTAATTCTCCCTAAGCGTGTGGAAAGAACGGGAGACCACACCTGTGCGTTTAGTCAAGTGTTTTGGGAATATTTTTTCGTTTAATACTTCCTACAAATCTTTGAGGTGGGTGTAATTATCCTGGTTTTAAGAGAGGCTCCAAAGGATGAAGTGATTTGTCCAAAGTCACCCAGCCTGAAAGGGGCAGTCAGGATTTGAACCCATTCTGTCAGGTTGCGGTTGGGGTTCCTCCACCTCCACGTATTTGTCTACTGCCTGTGCTGAGCTGAGAAGCCGAGTTCTTCTTTATGTGCCCATCCACAAATGTTACCTTCCGAAGTCTGGGGAAACCCGGTGCCCTGCGGCTGAGCTGAATTCTTCTCCCCCCTCCCCCGTCTCTTCCCCGCAACCTCTCTGCTGAGTAGCTGCAGCTTGAAACATTTTAATGAGCATCTAATATATGCGCATCCACAGAACACAATCCAGAGTAGGGTTCCGCCAACAAGTTGGCTCAAGTTTATGGTTCTTTCCTTGACGTTACTAAGCAATGCTTTTGAAAGTTATATAGATTCTGGCTGTGCGATTTACGCCGAGTGACTTTAGGTCCCCCGACCTCAACTTGTTCCTCTGTAAATGGGGGCGTTAATACCGTTTTACAAAGGTTGTAATGAAGATCGGATGAAAAGCCTTTTGTAAAGTGTCAAGGCACACAGCAGTCCCTTAGTCCCTGCTAATCCTCATTCCCCCTCCGTCTCGCTAAACGTGTCAGGGCAACTCGTTCCCGCTCCAGCTTCCCGCCTCCCGCATCTTCGACAGTCTCGCGCGTCGGGGACTTAGGCACTGGGGCAGCGCCGACCAAACAGAAAATTATTTCCTCCCGCTCGGTCCGCCCCGCCCCGCCCCGCCCCACCCCGCCCGTCCCCGGAGCCAGAAGGGGATTGTGGGGCCGCGGCGGCGGCGGCCGAAGCCTAGCGGGACGGAAGCGCGCGTCGCGCTGCTGCTCGGGCCCGACCGCGCCGGTCCCCGCGCATCCCTGGCCAGGGCTGCGAGCTGGGGTCGGGGCGGTCCCGAGGCGGCTGCTGCCGGGCGCCCTTCCGCGAAGTCTGTCTCACTGGTTCCCGGAACAGAGAGGGGGAGGCTGGAGGATGTTAAGGTTTCGCTTCTACTTGCTGGCCAGGCACCTGGTTTCGCCGGTCCTGGGGGCCGAGGCGCGCCCTCTGCACTGGGCATTAGAAAGCTCCCGGACTCTGGGGATAGGACTGGCTAGTGACTTCGGGTTTGCTTCTTATTTGTATTGCATATCCTTCTCTTCTCTTCTACCTTTACTACCCCCCAGAAAAGCTAACAACAACAAAAAAGCTTCTGACCTTGGGGGCTTTGGGAGAGGTTAAATTACTTTCCTGAAGCCAGTTAGTGGCTTCTTGTGGTAGGTCGGCCAGGTGGGCGTGGCCGATTAGAAACCCTGGGCTCTGGAGTCTAAAGGAGCTAGGTTTGAGTCCTTGGGTTAGTAGTATCTTGTCAGAAACAAGATTTGCCTTTTTCGGAATGGGGACGGTAGTACTGCTGTGAGCAGTAATTCTGTCAAGTGCTTGACAAAGGGTGATTTCCCTGTCAAAGGTTACGTCTTAGTGGCCTCTCCAGTAGGTCTGGTTGGGGTGTGAGTGTGGGTGTTTAGGTTCTTTCCTAAATCAAGAACCCTGAGTAAGAGGCTTGATCTAGAAAAAAACTAGTGGGAGGGAGGGGATTCCCCAGGCATTGGGGGGGGGGCAATAGTCATTATTATAAACAGTGACTATGCATGTTTGGGAATTTGGGGATTTTAAGATCATTCTACAGGAAGAGAACAGTACTTAACTGTCAAATCCTGAGTCTACCATTAGCTAGTAGTGGGATGCTGGAGATGCTGGCATCCTCTGTTTGCGGATCTGTAAGATGAAGATAATTGGACTGCCTCCTCTAATCTGGCCGGGTACAAATGGTTAAGCACCAGACTACTAACCTAAAGGTTGACAGTTTGAACCCATCCAGAGGGAGGCATCTCGAAAGAAAGGCTGATGATATCTTTTCAAAAAGTCCCAGCCTTGAAAACCCCACGGAGTACAGTTCTACTCAGGATCATCATGAATAGGAATCAGTTGGAGGGCAACTGTTTTGTTGTTGTTGTTTTTTCTCCTGCGGTCTATCTGGCTTTGTGCAGCGATACCAACCAAGGTCTGAGCAGGTACTATAAAACCTCTGAGTGAGGGCATCACCCAGGGACTTCCGTTAGGGAGTTAGGATGGATATGAATGGAAGAAGGTGATTGGGTGAGGCAACGAACTGCCCTACTTAGAGTTTAAGGAGCCCAGTGATGCAATGCTTGGCTGTTAACCTAAAGGTTGTGGCTTCAACCTACCAGTCATTCTGCAGAAGAAAACACCTGAAAATCTGCTTTCGTAAAGATTTCGGCCTAGGAAACCCCATAGGGCAGTTCTACCCTGTCCTCTGTGGTGTCCCATGAGTTACAGTAGACTGGCTGGGACACACACTTTTTTTTTTTTTTCCTTTTTAAAGTTTTTATTGTGAATTGAGTGAAAATTTACAGAATAGTCCCACATTCAACAAATCATACATTTCATGACATTACAATGATTGCAAACCGCCCCCCATGCACCATCAGTTAACATTGTTT